GGGGGGGAATTTCAAGCCAAAAAAAAAGTTTGCAAAATTCTTCGTGTTATTTTTCTCTCCAAACCGTTTCACGGAATTTTTTTTCCTCGCTTGGCAACACGATGCAGTGATACATATTTGCAATATGTGACATTTTGCAACTGGCAACTTTCGAGCCAATATCAACACCGGATGACGTCATATGAGGTGGAATTTATGGCAATAAAGGAACTCATGATTGGCGGGAAAAAGGGAACAAAAGCGTTGTGCCAAGTCGAGACGAGATTCGTTTCGCGAAACAATTTTGCAAGCTCCGTCCGGTTCCTCGAGCAAAACTTTTCTCCGATTCCGCCATTTTCAGGCATTTCGCCGATGAATTGGCCCCGAAAAATGCCGAAATGACGACATTTATCCTCACATTGGGTTGTGGGACATTGTGGGACATTTCAGTCGGAGTCTGACGCCAGAAGACATCGCGAAGGTGATCTCAAAAACCCGGAAATTGGCAAATTTCCTGTTGCTAAATGTCTCTTGCGATCCTCCTCGCTTCTCTATTTTTTTCTATGCAAAATTTCCGCCGTTTCTCCACCATTTTTTTAAGCCTCTGTTTTGCTTGGCTCTTTCTGCAAAATTCCCTGCAAGGACGCGATGAACCCACCTGTGCGACTTCGCGTATCTTACTTTTTGCGAAAATTCAGCTTGGAAATATTTGAAGCCGATTGAAGACAATTTAATGCCAATTGAGACGATTTGAGGCCAATTGAGACGATTTGAGGCCAATTGAAACAATTTGAGGCCAATTGAGACGATTTGAGGCCAATTGAAGCGATTTGAGGCCAGTTGAGGATCTCTGAAGAGCTTCGACCAGACCAACCGATGCCTCGTACTGCGTTTCATGCAACCAGCTTCCAACAGTCGCGCTATTCTTCGATTGGTGGCGAAAATTCGTTTCCAAGTTCGTTGCCAAATTCCTTGCCGAATTCGTCTGGCGAGAATTGTTCTTTCGAGTTCGCCATGTCGGAATCGATCGGTTCTGAAAACGACTCTTGGTCTCAAATGACTTTTGGCATCTCAGGTTGCGTCTATTATTGAGGCGGTCGTCGGTCGGCTCATCTGGGTCCAGTGGCTTCGGGAGGAATGGCTTGTGGGAGAAAAATCGGCCGGGGCAGAAGATAGGCAGTGGAATCCATTCTCGTCGGGACTACCGGTGGCTTCCAGCTTTCGAAGCGATAGGTGTCTCCCTCTTTGTCTTCTTATCTTTCTCATTTTCTTTTTTTTCTCTTTCTCCTTCTTTTTTTTCTCCTCTCATTCCCTTTTCCGTTATCTTTCTCTTTGGTGGGGGAGGAGGAATAGATCAGATTTTCCAGGTCAAGGCAAATAGGGAGGAATGTGTTTTTATCTCCCCCTCAAATAGCATTTTCACGCTGGAATGCTCGCTGGCGAACAGTCGGTACTTCCGTAGTACTTTTTCTTTTTTATAGAAGCAGTATCCTTTTTGCTTTGAGAGCAGGTGCCGAGCGACGAGCTAAAGTTCTTTTGTCGTTTGCAGCTGGCGAGACCAGGCTCAAATCTGCGACGCATGTCGGCGGAGTGCAAAAAACGATCGTGCGAAAACATTACGGCCAGGAGTTTCGCAATTTCCGTCTTTCCTCCCCCCGTTATTCATCCGTGCTATTTTCCTCTGTGAGCCAATTGCCGCGGGAAGGCATTTTGCCAGCTCACGACTCGTGGGGTTTCCACCGTCGCGTGAGCTCATCGTGAGCTCATCGCGGGCCGCGGTCGAGGCGTCCGACTTGGAGCAACTGCCGCGGCAGTTGCGGAAATCTCGCGGATTCCCCGATGCATGAATTCGCAGGGAACTCCCGAAAACTGACGGGAATTTGCACGGATCACAACTTCTGCAAATCGATTGGCATGGGCACACTCGCGACCCTCGTCCTGCCCCGGAATAGTCTCATTGCGGATGAGAAGCAGGTAGGAGAAGGGAGCAGCTATGTGGAGGAGTCATGGGGAGCAGCCACGGGGAGCAGCCATTTATTCTCCACTGCAGTTCAATTTTCTTGGCTCTTGGCATCACCGGCTGCATCAGTCAAATGCGTTATCTCATCCTACAGATGCACGCACAAGGAAAATCTCTCAAGGGGTGCAAAAAAAAATTAAAACAAACGTGGACATGGCATGCAAGAACACTTCTCAACGGCCGGAACTTCCAATTTTCGCAAGGGCAAACTGGATGCATAATAGGTTTTTTTTTTTCCAGGCCGAAGGAAACGAAGAAGCAGCGCACGTTCACGTTTTCATCACTGTCGTCACGGGAATCTTGCATTACATTTACTTATTTTATATTTTTATTCCGTCGATTGCCTGAAAGGGTAGGTCACTTTCCTCACTGGGCTGCTGATATCTCAGTCCATCGACAATGCAACGTAGTTGAGGGCACATTATATTTGCCAGAGGCGCCCAGCGGGCCAAGACAGCGATGCACGCAGCGCGAAACGGGAAAGAGGAAGACGAGGAGGTTTAAAGGGACGGCGCGTTTAAAGGGACGGAGGTCGCGAGGGGATTTAAACGCGGGCCAGCCTGGAGGGAGCCTGGGACCCGGCGCGACATCCCGTTCTCACGGTCGCCTCCGTGTCCTCCTACCTCCCCGTCTTCCGTCCTCCGTGTTCTTCCTCTCTGCAGTCTCTTTTCGTGCGGGTGCTGCGTGTTGCTTCAGAAAGGCTTCAGCTATCGCTTACGTGTTGGGTTTCGTCGACCTTTCCTTGTCTGAATTTCATCCCAGAAAGGATTTCGTTTCCCTTCCTCTTCCTTTCCTTCCTTGGTAGATTACGGTTAGGGAAAAAAATTACCAGGAAATTTTACTAAAGGAAAAGTTTCTCATATGAGGACTCCGGCTTTGAAATTTTTTTTCCTCTTTATCTCTCCCTGGCTTTGCTCGGTAGTGATTAGAAACTAGATCGATTGCATTTCTGCGTCACCTTACCGCGTCGCATCATCATCATCGAAAGAATTTCCTGATATTTAGAAATCCCCAGAAATTGTCAGGAAATTCCCATCTTACCCCATTTAGAATCCTCGCCCGACTGTCATCTCTCGTTGCGTCGGCAATAGCAGGAATTTTTCCTTTAATTTGACATTAGTAAATCGTCGAGTTGCCGACAACCTATAAAACTGAATCGATAAATGTTAAGCCATTCGACCCTAACGGCAAATAGCCCATTCGCTTGCGTTGCAGCCCGGTGACAATTGAATTATGAGAATATTGAGAAGCACGTCCCACCTGGGAAGCACAATTTGCAAATTGCCCAGTTTTGAGGTGGATCGGCTGGGCTCGGACGGCCAGGGATCCTCTGTCGGGTCCAGCCCGGATCGGACCAGCCCTCTCGGACTCCGCGCCATCCTCGTACTGATCACGTGACTTGCCTGGGACTTTGATTGCTGGTGCGGGTCGAGCTGATGTTGGTTTTTTGGTGGCAGGCCAAGTATGCCGGTGGAGGAGGGATGTATGGAGGTTCCGGTCCGGGGAGTGGAGGAGGGATGTACGGAGGATCCGGTCCGAACGGTGGAGGAGGGATGTATGGAGGATCTGTTCCGGGGGGTGGAGGTGGGATGTTCGGAGGAGGACCGGGATGGACCCAGCCCTATAACCCTCCACGGCCGTCGTCTCATCAGCCCGGGATCGTCTCGAATTCCAATCACATCTCAGCTGCTACCGTTGGTGAGTCGTTATGAAGAGCTCCGGGTTCTTGCTTTTTCCAATGTGCTTCTTGATGGGATTTTAGCTTTTCACGGGGTCGTTTGCAATTGCGTTGCTCGGGGAAAGACAATTCCCCCCCTCTCAAAAGCATACATTGACCGTGGTAATGGACCATAGGTCGTGGTAACAACCTGAAATGACAATTTGCTCTGCAGAAAAGAAATATGACCATGTGACTGGGGCTCTCAATGCTTACCGATTTATGTAAATTACATGCATACGTCTTTTAGGTATTCATCGCCTGTACGAGTTTATATCTACCTGTCCGGCGAGAAATGATGATTTCCAGGGTTTATATCTAAGTTGGAGTCAAGGCCAATATTAAAAGACAATACCTCGTGTTTTCCGTGTTTCCCCTCCCGTACGGAGATCGGCAACGATTGAGTTTTGAATTGCACCTGCAGAGACTCGAATATTTTGCCAAATTTTTGCGAGAGGGATTTAAATATGGATTCGCGGATCGGAAGCGATTTCGAAGATTTACGTTTAATTTCGTTTCTGGAGATCTGACAGAGCAGCTGAGCGATCTGAGCCTGAGCGACAGCCTCAAGCAGCCGCCTGGCTCCTACCTCTGCCATCTCTGCTTCCAGAAGGGACATTACATCAAGGACTGCCCTCAGGTGGGTCAAGGACTGTCCTCATGCTTATTTATGTTAAACAGAAAGGGCGAAAGTTATTTAAGGCTAGGAATTAAGAAAACTGTTTTTTTTTTTAAATAATAATTATTAAATATTTCTTCACCATGGTTTACCTGGTTGATGTAGTTACCACTTCAGAGTTGTTGGAGACAGTATTGGTAATGTCAGAATTTTGTGGGACCCCGGAGGGTATGCTCAATAAGTTGTATCATTTACCATAGTTCCTTGATTGGTCGTTCCTTTGCTCAGGCCCGACCGAAGGGCGAGGGCTTGACGCCCTACCAGGGGAGGAAGCGGTGCTTCGGGGAGTACCGGTGCCCAAAGTGCAAGCGGAAATGGATGAGCGGGAACAGCTGGGCCAACATGGGGCAGGAGTGCATCAAGTGCCACATCAACGTCTATCCGCACAAGCAGGTATCAGGGGGTTGTGTATCAGGGGGTTGTGTGTCAGGGGGTTGTGTGTCAGGGGGTTGTGTATCAGGGGGTTGTGTATCAGGGGTCGGTACAGATAGAGAGAACTGAGAAGGCATTTAGGGAAATTGAAACGTTTAAAGCTTTTGACGACTTTCTGCTGCGTTTTATTTCAACTTTGTTTACCGTTTGATTCTGTAAAACTCTGCAGCTCCTGACTTCCAATGAATGGAGGGGCAACTCTTCCATTTGATTTTCTCTTTTTTTTTTCTTTTTTTTTTCTCATAGTTCGAAAAGTTTGGTACTGTCGAGCTTGCATTCGTTGGCAAAAATAAGTAGTACCGAGAAATTTCTGAGGGGTTAAATTTGGAACATGAGTTGGCGTCAAATCCATGAAAGATTCAACGGGCGTGGGACGAATATTCGCAGGGAGGACTTGCCAAGTACTCCGACGTAAATTAGGGCGAAGAAGTCGCACAAATCGCATAATCAGTCGCCCTTTTTTTAAGCCAAAAACGATATAATAATTACTTTTGTTATGAAACACGGAACGGAAACTCTGAAAAAATCTAGAAAGGTTGAGTCGATGCAGAGAAAACGTACGTGGAATGGAGGAAGAATTTTATTTATTTATTACGTATTTTTTTAAATAATAAATATAACTTTTTTTTCGTAGAAACACAGATGTCTTTGATGATGAATGGAAAATTTTCAACTAGTTTGTGATGGAAAGCTTCGTTGAATTTTTTTCAATGAGCTACCAAGGAGTTTTAATACCCCTTATAATAAAATAAAATAAAATAACATAATAATTTTAATACCCGTTTAGCAGTAAAGGGGTATTAAAAGTGAATGCTGTGAATTTTCTGACCTCGAGGGAAGCATCGTTCCTTTTTTTTTTTTTAGCACTGGGTAGATTCTCATTTGGGCGAAAGTACCTTTCCTACAGGGATTGCGAATCAGTGAAAACGATGAGATGACCAATTTTCAGTCCTGAGAAACGGTTGTTCGCGTGTTTTCCGCGCAGCGACCGTTGGAGAAGCCGGACGGGTTGGACGTGTCGGACCAGTCCAAGGTGCACCCGCAGCATCTGTGCGAGAAGTGCCGGGCCCTGGGGTACTACTGCCGTCGGCTGCAAGCCTGACGGACGTGCCTCCGTGGAGGTTCCTGTCGTGGCGCGCGATTATCCGTGGTGTTCCTGTCGTGGCGCGCGATTATCCGTGGTGTTCCTGTCGTGACGCGCAATGCTCAGTGGTGTTCCCGTCGTGGCGCGCGTGGGCGCGGCATCGTGTTCCTGTCTTGGCAAATAGGTGTACATATTTCCCCACTGAGTTCCCGTCATGACACACACGTGTGCCTAAGGCGCACGCACGTTTCGTACAATTGTAACTTCCTCTAGTCGTGGTGGGTCATTCCAGACGAGGACTTTCTCTTTTCTGCGTCGCCATCGGCCCCAACCCCTTTCTTCCAGTGGCGCTTTGCAGTCTGCTCATGCCCTCACTAATGAGCTCATTTCATTAATGACCCCTGTTCATCGCGAACGCCATTTCATCACGAATGCCATTTCATCGCGAAAGCCATTTCGTTTTTCCCCCTCTTCGCCTGGGCTCCCTCGCATTGCTCTCGCCATGGCTCTCAAGAATTCCAGTTTTCACGGGGCTTCGACGGCGGCGCTGTTTCTCTGTTTGTCCGTTTTTTTTGCATGTCTGTGCGTGTGTGCCTTCTGTGCCAAATTTTCGGCCGTTTCATCGGTTCTCCTAGAATGGCGAATTTTTTTACGCTTAGATCTGGTTAGGCTGCACTCGGATACGCTTACGAATTTTTTTCGCTCTTGGTTTAAACCGGACGTGGAATCACCGATGCAATTTTTCAAATTTAAAGTTTGGTCATGTTTGAACCATTAAATGGTGATGTATGAACCATTAAGTGGTGATGTATGAACCATTAAGTGGCGATTGTTGCGTGATTGCTTCGTTTTCCCGTCGATTGTGCACTTTTCCCTAATTTTTTTGTGTGTCGATTTCTCGATCGAATGAGCAACGCCCTCTCAACGGAGGCGAACGATAGAATGTTTCAACGTGTTTGTTCGGATGCCTGAGGTGTCGAGTGTTGAATGAACGGTGATTGGTTGAGGTTGAATTGGTTTCATTGGTTTCGATTCATTTTTTCATGATTTCATTTATTAGGAATTACGAAATACAAATAATCACAGATCATCAGGCATTTTCCTGGTTGACTGCGCAGTTGCAGATGGGCATATGCTCCACCAGTGGGTGTATGCTCCACCAGTGGGCGTATGCTCCACCAGTGAGCGTATGCTCCACCAACACATTCGCATGATTGCCACTTACCACCTGGCAGTTTTCAGTTGTGGCTTAGACACTCGCTGTCACAAAGTCGATGTAAACAATGCAACAGGTAAGCCTACTGAGCTGCATTTGGTAATGAATTCGCATCAAGTGCGCCTCAAAATCCAAATGTTGAAGAAGGGAAACTGCGTCTGAGTGATGCATCTGGCAAATAGGTAATTCGATGTACAGGGTGACCCAGAAGTAGGTTTACACGGAGGAACATGTAGGTGTTGGAATCGACACCACTTACCGCGATCGATCCAGATCGGGGGTTAGGAGGACGCCTGGGACGACGCCTGGGACGACGCCTGGGACGACGCCTGGGACGACGCGCGTCCCCATTGCAGGCGAGTCCGGAGGATCTCCGCCGGCTGGTGCTTCGTGCACGCGATCCTCGATGAACTTCCGGAAGGTAATCGGTAAATCTCTGGGATTTACCGGGTGAAAATTTCGAGCTGCTCTCGCGTCCTACGGGGTCTGTTGTCTTCTTCCCAAAAATGCTAAATGGTACTTGCTGCTGCGAAAGTCTGCAAGAAGAAACAGGGTAGCATAAAGGCAGAGGACGCAGACCACCGTATTGCATTCAGCAGGCTGCGATTCGTGCGCTCTGAAGCCAGTCTTCCAGATTTCGTGTCGCCCCGAAGTCGAGGTGCATGAAGAAAGGTCTCCATTCCCTCTCGAAGAACTTCGACCCGTCTTATTGGCATTTCGCGGCTTTCGTGCCGGTTTGCGTCCACGTGAGTCGGTTCCCTCGTGCCAATCGGAGCTTCCAATTTCAGGGAGAGTCTCTCTTTGCGTGCCGGGCGTCGATGCTTGTGGGCCGACGCACGTGCCCGATAACATCAGAGGACTTTGACCGCACGCAGGGCTTGCGTGCAAAATTAGGATCATTCGGAGCCTGCACGCATGTTAAGGGAAAGAAAAAAGCGTCCGGAAAGGGCACGTCGCAGAGGGCGTCCGATCCAGCCGATGCGACGCGACGCACCCGTGACCCCTTGACCCCTTGGTGACCCCTTGGCATGCGCGTAGACGCAGGTGCTAACACACAGCATGCAAACATTCGGCGCGTGAGCTTGACCCTCACTCTACGGCAATAGCCTTCCTGCCTCTCGCATCCCTTTCCATTCAGCCACCATGCAGGAAGTAAATCCAAAAAATCCCACCTTCCCCTCCCCCACCTCCCCACCTCCCCCCCACCTTCAGACAGAACAGACCCACGCTCCTTCACAAACTCAAATGCAAAATGAAGAGATGCCTGCACGGCCCCGCGACGAATCACCTTTCTTCGACGAAGTGCAGCAGGTTCTTCGATTCTTGGATCGGTGCTGCATTCACACTGAGATGGTGATTGCTCTGGATGATGGTGATTCCTTTGACCTTTCCCTTTCTGGTTTCATCTTCATGCCGAAGATCTATTTGGTGGATTGCGTAATTTCGGAACTCGATTCATCGTAATACC